GCAAAATTTTAAGCCTATTAATAATACCATATGTTGGAGGTAATGTGAAACAATGAAACATAAATATTGCTGGTGGGGATATAAATTAGTATAATCATTTTAGAAGATAGTTTGGCATTATTTAGTAAAGTTGAAAATGTGTGTACTCACTGATCCACATGTTTTATTTATGGGCATATACGCAAGAACCAGGAGATATATGCACGAATGCTCATAGCATCCCTGCTTGTAATAGAAAAAAGAAGGAATTAATTTGAACATTTGAATAAATGTTAGTATATGCATGTATATGGGAGGAAAAATAATTTTCCTTCTACCCTTTTGAATTCTCTCGCATAACAAAAGACAGATTAACAAGAGAGAAACAAGTTTATTAAAGTGTATCAAGCATGCAACAAATGGGAGTATCCAGAGATGAGTAACTCAAAGGTTTGGTTAGAACTTGAGTTTATATAATATCTTAGCAAAGGAATAATAAAGTTTTAGAGAAGTAACCAGACAAAAGAAAAGGGGTTTGAGTCTCTACAGGCAGCAGGTTGTGGAAGGGCAAATATCTGGGACACTAATGGAAGATAAAGACTAGTTAGTAACGTTTGTTTTGTAGATTTTTCTGGCGAACATCTCCAGGTTAATAAATGTCTACAGTTGTCTCTTTGATTAACTTTTGTCTTTCTTAGTAGAGAGGGGAGGAGGGACGCCTTTGGAAATTTATGTCCTGCTTTTGGACTAGTAGGGGTAGGGCAGAGAATTTTCTTCTGTCTGTTCCTTCTAAATTGTCCTCAGCTCAAAATAATCCTCATGCCAAAGCAGCGTATTTCAGGGTGGCATAATCTGGTTTCCTACATATTCCAGAGCATAATATTCACCAGCGAAAAGTGAATTAATTACAGCTGCTCAACAGCCACATGGATGACTAAGAATTACAATGTTATGCGAAAAGAAAAAGTCACAGAAGAGTACACATAGTATGATTCCACATATGTAAAGTTCTGAAACATATAAAACTACACATTAGAGAATCAAACATATGGTTAAATTATAAAGAAAAGCAAAGAATGATTTAAATTTAAGATTGTAATTACTTCTGAGAGACCAGAGAAGGTCTGTCTTTATTTGGAGAGGGGCTCACAGAGGGACTTGGAAGATAATGATAATGTTCTTGTTCTTAAACCTGGGTGGGTGTTGGTTATGTTGTGGGTCTTTATACTTCATCTGAATATTCTAAAGATATCCTTTAATCTACCCACTTATTAATAAAACACTTTAGAAATTAAAAAAAAAAGACCAGAGGAATAGGAACAAAGCCAAGATAATGTAAGGTACCAATAATAGTCTCTTTTCCACCTGAACACACCTGAAGTATACAACACACTGCAGACTGTAATAGGTTTACTGTGGCAGTGATTCTGAACTGAAACGCTTGTGTTCTGGGAAGAAATAATCAGAATTTGGGGAAGTGGATGGGGTGATGAATAAAATTTTTGTAAGGCCCAGAGATTATTTGGTTATACCCCTTAATTCTTTTTCACTTTTTGGGGAAGTCACCATGTCAAAGGAGGAGAAGGTTGTGAAAGAAAATTGGTTGTAATGTTATGTTAGAATAGTCAAGGAGAAAAGGAGCTCATTAAGAATAGGGTCTAAGAAAGCGATCAGTAAGTTTAGTGAAATCATTAAGGTTGAAGAGAGCAATTTCCATTCAGTGAAGGCAGCAACTACAGTTTGAGGTAAAAGAAGGTAGTATTCCAGAGTTTGGGGAAAAGAAGAAAAAAGGAAAAAGTGAAGAGAGAGGAGGTGGAGAGAGCTGCCTAAGAGGATGTGTAGTGAATGGAGGTAGGTCCCAGAAGGTCCAGGAGCAGTTGGGATCAGTAGTTACAGGAGCATTTTAAGGTGGAGTTGTTTTATTTTCAGTAACATGAAATGGGAGAAATTGTGACTAAAAATGAATGGAGTGGAGGAAGTCAGGGGCCTGCTGAGGTAAATGTGTGATTAGTGTTTAATGAGATTAAGTCATTGTGGATTATCGAATTTTGGGGCTTGGTTGAAGAAAGTGTGAGTTTATTGGGAATTTGATTGTTTTGTTTTTACTCTGAAGCATTACTCAGCAAGTTGGCAGGTAGTGCTGAATGGTAGTGCTGAACCAGCATTGGGGATGAGGCTAACTAGTATAACAAGAAGTGTAAGGAGTTCTAGTGAGAGTATCAGTGAATAATGACCCTGTGGTCCAGGCCATTTAGGAAGTCAGTATTGCCAGATCTGGGATAATTTAGTTGGAGAATAGAAAGAAATGAAGGTATTAGAGTGCACATTAAGGGAAGGGATGAGGTGCGAATGTGGGAGGAGGAAGGTATGACTTCTGTGGTCAGAAAGGAAGAGCACTTAATCTAAAAGCCTGGATATAGACAGAACACTTTGAGGTTACCAGATAATCAGTGGGCCTCATGATTTTATTAATAATACAGTTTTGAGATGAAACGTGAAAGATGACATAATTGCGTCCAAATCAGAAACAATATCCTGGAAGTCATTTTACATTAGATTAAATGGGATATTTGTAAATTTCTAGCTTGAAGCCAGGAAAACCTCCAGCTTGCGAGAGGTGGGATATTTAATTGGTAATGAGAGAGGGATTTTGACAGGTATGTTTGTGATGAAAGGGGTTAGGTTAATTGAGATGTGTACTCTAATTAAGAGTTTTAAAGTGCAGGATAAATAATTTATGCTCAGTCTGGTCTGGGAACTTATAAATACAATATTTTGTTTAGCATATTAATTACACTATATAATTTTCTTGAAATTGTGGTTTAGTAGTCAAGGGCCAGGAAAGATTGAGTGCACAGTTTTTCATACACATGACAGTCACATACTGTGACCTTAGTTTTAACTTAATGTCTTCCTGTTTTTAGTCCTGTTGTAACACTATAGTTTTCCAAACTTCATTACTGCTATTTTGAGAAAAATAGTAGCTGAAATACATGTGAAGGAATGATATACTAAAACCTTAAGAAGCCTGGAACTTTCAGATATTTTTAAGAGCAGCCATCACAGAATGCCAATTTGGAAGATCCAACATTTGCTAACTACAGAAAGCCATTGTGAACTGCATTGCCAATTAAGTGGCTTTTAAAACTGTGGTTTATTGGAACTGAATCTTAGAAGACTGAGAAGCTGAAGTAAATAAGAAAATTGAGATAGAAAGTCAGTAAGGAACAAGTAATTAGTGTTGTTTGTGTAGGAAAATCAGTAGCTAGAAGTGATAAAGAAAGAAAACCAATAGGAGAGGGAAACTAGATAGGAAAAAACTCAGTGCAGTGTTTTATACACATGCATAATAGAAGAGCACCATAGTGCAAAGTCATCTTCTCCAAGAACTTTCAGACTACGTATGGTGAAATCATAGGAAAGAGATTTAAGAACACTAACCTAAAAAGAGAAGATTACTATCTGTGCATGTCCAGAAAGGTGTTTTCCAGAGTTTTAATGTAAATTTATAATAAGGGATTATACCTAATATACAAAGATAATTACATACTCAGATTGTTTGCTAGTTCCTATTTAAATGTGTTTTTTAAAAGCTCTGTTAATTTGAAGAAAGAAACTCCAACTGTACATTTCTTGGTATCCTGAACTCCTCTTTCATCCTTGAGGTTTACCTGTACCTGTCATGATAATCCTACAGATGTATTCTACAGTTTCATTGAAGCAATAAGAGTTCCTATTGGGAGGTACATGATGATCTCTTCAGTCATGTACCTTGTTTTCTCATTTCCTAAGAGGTGGTTAAATTGCCCTGATTTCTGTGGAGGGGACCCTTAAATCTTTTGTTTACCTAAGAGCTCACAATGGGGAAGGACAAGATCAAGTGGCCTAAAATATCCCTGGAAAATTCTTGTATGTCTATTAATTGCTCTTTGCACTTCACATATATCTGTTTCGAAATGCCAATATCCAAATATCAAACCGAAGGAGTTTGCTTGTTCTTTTCTTTCTAGGCAGAAAAACTAATGAAGCAAATTGGTGTGAAAAATGTGAAGCTCTCAGAATACGAAATGAGTATTGCTGCTCATCTGGTAGACCCTCTTAATATGCATGTATGTATCTTTAATCTTAAGATTTTCTTTTTTATTGAGGTAAAATACACATATATAATTTTTTTATATGTAAAATATTTATTCTTTATCATTTTTAAGTATATAGTTCAGTGGTACTAAATACATTTATATTCTTTTTTGCTCCACCCCTTCCCAGCCTCTGAAGATTTTTTTTTTTTGTCTGATGTTTTGTGTCAAGAGTCCTGAAGACCATGACCAGATTCATGGATTGTCTTGAAGGAATCACAGGACTCAGCATGTAGTCATACTCCTATATATAATTTACTACACTAAAAGGATGTAAGGCACAATCAGCAAAGGGAAAAGGACATAGGGTGAAGTCTGTAGGAAACCAGGTACAAGCTTCCAAGAGTCCTTTCCAAGTGGAGTCACACAGGATGTGCTTAATTATTGCATCAGCAAGTTGTGACAACACATGTGCAATGTTGTCTACCAGGGAAGCTCACAAGAGACTCAGTGCCCAGGGTTTTTATTGGGGGCTGGTTATATAGATTCCCTCTTCCTTAAATGTACCAAAATTCTAGACTCCTAGAAGGAAAACAGATGTTCATGGTAAACCATATTGTTTGTGCAAACAGTTAAGGCACAGTGAGCTGTTCTTGTCTAGGAAGGGTGAGACTCTCGAAATCTAAGTTCCCAGATGCCAGCTGAGGGCCAACCTTATAAGCAGGCTTTTCTGAGGATAGCAGCCTCAGGTCTGCTATGTTAACTCTTTTTCTGTATACATTTGTTTAGTAAAACTTGTACTTTGGTATATTTGCCTTTGTGATATGTGAAACATACTGCTTTAAGCTGTGTGGATATTTGTTTTATGGAGTTTAAATCTAGACTTTTATATGGTGCGATAGACTTGGGATTCTAAGTCCCAGTTTTTCCATTCGTGGCTGTGGCAAATGATTTCCTCTTTGAATCTCAGTTCCTTCATGTATACTCCAGAGATAATAAAATGCCTGCTCTACCTACTTTATAAGGATTATTTTGAGGATCAGATTAATGTAATGTATAAGATCCTATATGAATATTTTGTATGTAACAGAATAAATATATTTATCTAATATATAAATGTTATTTTGATACAAATAAGTAGAATGAAATATCCCAATCTTCAAGTCTTCAGAAAACAAAAATCTACAATGTCATTTAATATCTGTTTATACAGAGACGTACACACACCCTAAAATTAAGCCTCCCTTTGAATTTCATTTATAAATTTATGATGATACCTTCTTAGGGACCTACCTATATTCATTTCTGAGTAAGTCTATACTAACAGACTCAGTTTTTTGTTGCAGCTGCAATGAAAGGATTTTTTTCCCCCACATTTAGCTGGAAAAGTTTGCGCCTTTTCTTTTTATCTTCCTTTTTTTTTTCTTTTTAAGTTATGAAGAAAGTAAATCTATTGTAAAGTTATTGCTTCTGACAGGTCTCACCTCTGACTCCTTTACCGTGACAGCTTAGAGCTAGGTTGATTCTAAGTCCCTTTCAGTTAGCTTATTTCCAAAAAAAAACTTTTTAAGTTGAATCAGAAGATTTTCCTTGTCTATTTTGAAATATGTATACTTACTATTAATATTATTTATAAAGACACCTCATTAAGTTTTGACAGTTTTACTTTTGATAAAATTCGGAAGTCCAGTTTGGTGGGTAATATAAGATGCAGACCTTATTTTTAAAATTAATTTCTATGATGTTTGACAACATCCTGTATGAAATAGGTACATTTCTGGTGAGCTCTTACCAGTCAGCCAATGTTAAATTATCTGTCTGAGCTGGTTCTCAATCTTTTTGTGGCAGAGTATTTTCTCCTCATAAGTGGAATGAATTCAGCTTATTAGACCCTTGCAGATTTTTGAGTACGTGACTTTTTTTTAATAATGACTATTAAACTCCTTTTTCTAATATTATAGCAGTTTATTAATTTCATTATTGCTGTGAAAAGTCTACTCGCGTTGATATATAATTTTAACCTTTTATTATTTATGTATAATTTTCTGATTAAGGTTTGCCATTTTATATGTGGGTATTCTATTTTGAGGGGATTACATTTACTGTATTGAGTATACATTTATAGTAAAATTCATGTTACCTTAACTTTTACCAGGTTACTTGGAGTGATATAGCAGGTTTAGATGACGTTATTACAGATCTGAAAGACACAGTTATTTTACCTATCAAAAAGAAGCATTTGTTTGAGAATTCCAGGCTTCTGCAGCCTCCAAAAGGTATGGTAAAAGTTTGTATTTGCCTAACACATTAAAAGCCATGAATCATCATTAAACTTTTCTGCCATTATAAAATTGGTTTTCATGAAATCAGTTTCTCAAGAGAAATCTGAGATCCAGTGACTATCTTTTTAAAAATAATTGCTCGTTCTTTAGTTTTTGAAATTCAGATAAATTTTTCCCTGTATTTAGATGTCAAAATAATCTCCTTATTTCACACGTGTTTCTATTACTTCCAAGTAAATTAAACTTCGGGAAATCAAGATTTAAAAAAATCCAAGTGACAGTATATATTTTTTAAAGCTAAGATGCCCTTTTGTTGTTTCAAAACTCTAGTGAATTTTTTCACTAGAGCGATCTTAATTATTTTTAGATGGTAGTCATTCTTGTTTACAGGAAATATTGAACTGCAGATGAACTGGAAATTAAATACTACTCCACTTAGAGGGAAACTTTTCCTTATTCATAATCACTTTGAAAGTCTTGGAACTTGAGTACTTACAACTGAAGTGTAATTCTTTTATTCTTGTTCGTGCAAATATTAATCATGCTTAGGCTTGTTAAGGTGATTCAGGTGGAGATTACTTGGTAACTTACAGTAAGATAGATAGATATATGTTACCGTGACAATCAGATACTAACTACAGATAGCCTGTTTATTTCCAGATAGCAGAAGCTCCTATTTAGTGCATTGCCAAAACTAGATGAGTTTGATTTATGTTGCTAGTCAAGACTGAACTCGGGCTGGGCACGGTGGTTCACGCCTTAAACCCCAGCACTTTGGGAGGCTGACGCAGGAGGATCGTTTGAGGCCAGGAGTTTGAGACCAGCCTGGGCAACATAGGAAGACCCCATCTCTATGAAAATTAAAAAATTAGCTGGGCATGGTGGTATGCTCCTAGCTACTTGGGAGGCTGAAGCTAGAGGATCACTTGAACCCAGGAATTTGAGTTTGCATTAAGGTATGATGATGCCACTGTTCTCCAGCCCAGGCATTAGAGTGAGGCCTGTCTCAAAAACAAAAAGACAAGTCAAATCACTGGTCGCATTCATTTTTCAAAAAGGTAGATCTTTAAAAACATCAAAATAGCAATATGTATGTGTAAGTTGTAATTGCTTATAATCTTAATAATTTTGCAACTAAACCAGAAAGGTGCATTATTTTATATATCAAAGGTAATTGAACCATATGTTAATAGCTATGTATTTTTATGAGTAGATAATTTTTGTTTCTGCTAAATGGAGGATGAAAATTATCAGCAAAAGTGCCATGTTCTTTTTATTAACTAAAACAACAAAGCTATTTATTATGTATTTCTTTCCATTTTCTGAAACAATAAAGCTGCTTATATTTTTCCCTAACAAAAATGCATGTCATTTATTGTGATTTTTTTCCCCAAAGAAAAGTTTGAATGGGAAAGAATTTTTGAATGATTATCTAATCCCAGATCAGGTAAAAGTTGGATTATGTAGTTAAGTTTCTTTACTACCCTCTTCTAGGTTATTTGGAGTTTAACAAAAAGAACTTTTCTGCATTTTCAGTTCACAGTTTCACAATGCTAGTGAATTTAGGAAAATAAAATGTTCTTTATATACTGTTAGAAAATGCTCCTTTTTTCATCAGTGATGTCTTAGTCTAGGTAAAATTGGGTGACTTTACCAGTTGGACTTGGTTCAAAGCCCCAGTTAGCATAGTGGATACCAAAGAATGGAGGAGATACTTCAAAAGTTATGTGTAAGTCTGCTGCTTATTTGAAAGCATCATCCAATTTAAAAGTTGTGTAATATTTTCTGATTATATAATCTAATGTTTGGCTATTTGAACTAGGAGCTTTACATTTTTGGAAAATTTTGTATCAAGAACAACACTTTGACCAGGCATGGTGGCTCACACTTGTAATCCCAGCACTTTGGGAGGCCGAGATGGGAAGCTCACTTGAGGCTAGGAGTTCAAGACCAGCAACATAGCAAGACTCCGTCTCTACAAAAAATAAAATAATTAGTTGGTGTTGTGGCATGCGCCTGTAGTCAGCTACTCGGAAGGCTGAGGTGGGAGGATCGCTTGAGTCCAGGAGTGCAAGGTTGCAGTGAGCTATGATTGTGCCACTGCACTCCAGCCTAGGCAACAGAGCAAAACTCTGTCTCAAAAAAACAAAAAAGTGCAACATTTTGAAAATCATTGATTTACTTTTTGACCCTCAACATAAATTGGATATTAGTGTGTAGAAGCAGAGTATAAAATCAGTTACGTACCGTATTTGTTGCATTTTTGGACTGGAAATAGGTTACCTAGGTTAGAGTGATTATTGACAATTTTGTTATCTTTAGACAGTTCATTGCTATCTAAGCTGAAAGTGATCATTGCCTCACATGGACTACATAAAGATAATTTAAGAATGACTTATTAGGCACTATTCATGCAGCACATGAGATCATATTTAACTGATAAGATCATGTAAAGATATAAAGTTGGAGCTAATGCACATTGTCATGCCACTGACTGATGACAGAGCCATGCCATAAGAGCCATACAACCATCAATAGATGGTTGTATAAAAAAGTAACCCTCTTTTCCCCAAACATTTAAAAATTTACAACAGTTAAAATTCCAAAAAAAAATTCCATCTAAACACTATATGGCTTCTTCTATAAACTTTCTGTTATTTTGGCACATAAGTTTTATATTTGTGAATTTTATCATAGTCCATGTTTTGGTATATTCTTTAAAATGTGCGTAATGTAAGAAAAATATTTTTTGAAAAATTGATTTTCTGATGCTGTAAAGACCTACATTCCCTTTACGTACTTTATATTTAAATAGATTTAATTTTTATAGATATTTTATATTTTATAGATATTTTTGTACCATTTGGACAAATTTTATATTAAAGTCAATAAGCAGTTGTCCAAAAGAGAAAGAAAGAAAAGTTGGTCCACTAGTAAGGTCAGTATATTGTCACTAATGAGGATTATCTCGAATTTGGTGTTTGTCCTAGTACTGCTTTTCTTCCTCATCTTAAATCTTTCATTTGTATGCAGCACTTATTAAGTAAAGCCCTTACTGAAAACATCCATCTTAAAAAGGGGTTTGAATTTTTAAGCTTCTACAAAGCACAGAATAATAAGCACATTTTTTATTTGTTGACATTGGTCATAACATTATCAGATTAAGCTCAAGAAACTAGATAAAAGGTCGCAAAACTAATAATTGAAGCCAAATGTCTCACATTAATTTTAAGAATCACTCATTCATCACCCTTCATAAATACTAACACTGTGGGGACCATTTTGGGAAAAGGTATAGAAAAGGTGCCACATTAAATAGTATTATTGCTAGACTCACTGGTAATGCGTTGGATGAGACAACATGAATTTTAGTGAAACTTAACATACAAACAGGAATGGGGACAAAACAATTTACTGAATAATTATAAAGCAGACACTCATGTAACTGAGGTCAAGAAGGGAATAATAGGCCGGGCGCGGTAGCTCACGCCTGTAATCCTAGCTCTCTGGGAGGCCGAGGTGGGCGGATCGTTTGAGCTCAGGAGTTCGAAACCAGCCTGAGCAAGAGCGAGACCCCGTCTCTACCAAAAATAGAAAGAAATTGATTGGACAACTAAAAATATATAGAAAAAAAAAAATTAGCCTGGCATGGTGGCACATGCCTGTAGTCCCAGCTACTCGGGAGGCTGAGGCAGTAGGATCGCTTGAGCCCAGGAGTTTGAGGTTGCTGTATGCTAGGCTGACGCCACGGCACTCACTCTAGCCCGGGCAAAAGAGTGAGACTCTGTCTCAAAAAAAAAGAAGGGAATAATAGCTCCTCGTGCACCTTACCTCTCACAGCTCTAACCTCAGAAAGTTACGAGATGCAGAAGCTTTCATTGCATATTGAATCTTCAGACACTAGTAACTGCTCAATTAATAACATTGATTGTAGTCTGCGAAGAGAAATATTCAGAAAAACTTAATCCTGCTAAGAAGTACCAAAACTAAAACTAGAAATAAAATATTTAAAGTGATAAATGAATAATTTGAAACACATATGACATTTTACAAACACTGCATACATTTATGAAGTAATAGTGTAGCTGCAAAGTCAACAAAATATGGAGGCTTTTGCATCAATACTTCGTTTTAAAAACCCTGAGATTTAAGTAATATGTTTCTAAAAGTTTGGTAGTAGATGTGCATTCTACATTAAATTATGTGATCAAAATGATAAAATGTAATAATAATTCCAAGCATCTACAGTTATCCCATATGTGTTCAGTTTTAAATTAAATGACTTTAGATTACTATTTTTTATTGTTTCACATGAGTCATCCAAAAGAGAAGTGTCGGTAGAAAATGCAAATTATAGATGACTTAACTGGATTTTAAGCACCTAAATGGACTTAATTAAAAATTGCAAAGACTGCTTGAAGATACAATGAACATGTACTGGCAAAGCTTATGGATTTAATTTAAAAGTCAGATTTAGAAAAGTTTAGTTTAAAATTATTAAACTTGGGTTAGTTGGTGTTAGTACTTGAATCTTAAAGAATTATAAAGACAGTAGAAAATCTATATATGCTTGAGAAAAAGTTTGAGCATGATTTTGAAGTGCTTGATATGAAAAACAATTGTTAGGGTTATGGAATCAGGCTCAAGTTTTCCATCTTAAAAAATTGAAAAGATATTTTTTAGAAATTTTATTCAAAATACTATTTTTCTGATATTTTGAATTTAATTTGTTTTATATAATATTATGAAAATTTTGGACATCTCCTCCAGTTTACCCTAGCATACCATCCGTAAATAGTTATTCTTTAAATGCTGTTTCCTGAGAAATGTTGAGCTTTGAATTAAGCAAATATTTTGAAAGGTCTGTAGATTATAATTCTTATCAGGCCTTTCTGTAGATGATTTATTTATAGAGTGGTTCATAATTTTAGTGTTAATAGTTTAGTATTATTATATATTTAGTATCATTAAATTTGGAAAATACTACCTCATTTTAGTTGAGAAACTGTTGGTGATGATTCCCAAAATGTTCAAGACCCCAACCTTTTTAGATTCCTCGTATGTTAAATTTATTACCTTAAATTGTATTTAGCAGCAGACTACTGTCAATGGACGCTATAGGTTAATGATGCAGTTCTATCCTTTGGAAACGGAAACAAGAGTGACTGATAATGTGTTTCTTTTAAGAAAAGATCATTTTTTGTTTGGAAAAAGGAACATGTCCTTTTGTCTAAAACTTAAGTCTGAGTAACAGCAAAACAGTGTTTGCCAGAGTCTGCTTTGAAGTTGTTTACCTTCTAATATCAAAGTACTATAGTGCTCTTAAGCTTGTGAAGGTGGAGGGTATTAGATAATTTAATTGGCCAACCATTGATAGAGTGGTGTGATTTTGGATGTCAAGATAATAGTCTTTAGAACCTTGAACCAGACCTTTTCATGAAGGAAGGAACTGTAATCCCCAGATACATGTTCTCACTGACATTGAACTTAGAACATGGTACCTTCCTTTCTATTGCCTTATCTACTATAAACATGATTAATAAAAGCAGAATCAAATATTCAAATGATTTTTGTGGGGGCAGAATTAATATTATGTCAGTTATTACATAAACTAAAGGAAATATCTCATTTTCCTAAAGGTAATAATAAAATAACATTAATTTCCAGGTGTTCTTCTCTACGGGCCTCCAGGCTGTGGTAAAACATTGATTGCCAAGGCTACAGCCAAAGAAGCAGGCTGTCGATTTATTAACCTTCAGCCTTCAACACTGACTGATAAGTGGTATGGAGAATCTCAAAAATTGGCTGCTGCTGTTTTCTCTCTTGCCATAAAGCTACAGCCTTCCATCATCTTTATAGATGAAATAGGTATGCTATGTTTTATATGTGAGTATTTTTAAAAGCCATTTTTAAAGGTGGTATTTAGATAAACCAGATTTAGTTTTTATCATTTATTAAGCCACATTAATAAAACAAAAACACAACCAGCATCCTAAGATGCTTTGTATAATTTCTTCATTGTAGAATAAACCATAGTCTATATAGTCCCCAACTTGATAGGTTTTCCTGTTAAAAGCAGTGTGCAGTGGACATTTATGTACATATTTTCTCATGTATATATGTTTGCCCAGGATAGATACCTAGAAGTTGAACCATTAGGTTTTATGGTATGTCCATCTTCAGCTTCACTAGGATTACTAGTTCTTCAAAGTGGTTGTACCTATTTTTACTCCCATAAGTATATAGTTTCAATTTCTCTACATGCTCTATGAGATTTACTTTTTCAAACATTATCGCTAATTTTTGCCAATTTAAAGAGTGTGAATTATCTCATCGTTGTTTTAATTTATGTTTCCCTGCTTACTAGTAAATTTGGGCATCTTTTAACATGTTGATTAGTCATTTGGGTTTTCTTGCTTGTAAATTGCCAGTTTTTCTTCGGAGTTATTTGCATTTCTCTTGGTAGTTTTTTGTTGATGTTTATTATGATTGCAAATATTTTCTAGACTGCTTATCTTTATTTATGATAGTTTTTTTTACAGTGATTTAAATTTGAATTTAGTTACCTTTATTAATAGTTTTCCTTTATGATTTTTTAACTTTTTGTATCTGGTTTAGAAATACCTTAACTATCCCTGTAAGTATTCTCTTTTTAAAAAATTATCTTTCTATATAATATGAAGTAGGAATCTAATTTCATTCTTTATTAGTGGACTCTTTATATGTTTTATGGATCAATATTTTTGTTCTGTTTCTGGTACAATAAATTATATATATAAATATATATAGCTTTACTGTATTATTGTATCTTTATATATATGTAGCTTTAATTATATAACTTTGAATTATATATAATTACATGTAGTATGATAGGCTATGTAAAAATATATAGAGAGAAAGGTAGGCATAGATACATAATATAGATTTGTTTTGGTTACTTATTTTCCTTATGCATCTTTTCTCATCAATTTACTCCTTGCAGTTATTTTGGGATTTTGTTGTGCATCTTGAACAAGTGATCATACAGCTAGGTTTTTTTTGTTTTGTTTTTTTCAAATTAAGACTCTAACTGGGAAGTGTCGTTAGCTTGCCTTTATTTTGATAGCAGAAATATTCAGATTTATTTCTACTATATTATTTTATTTACCAGTCCAGTGGACTTTTTTTGCTTTATTTATTCCTATTTCCCTGCTACAGGCTTAAAAGTTATACGTTCTTTTTCTTTTAGTGAAGCATTTAATATACATACTTGTCTTAAAAGTCAAAGGTAATCATCATTACTGCCCTCATCTCAAATAATACAGGGACCTTAGAACTCTTAGATACTAATAATTCCTCTCATCTGTTATATATTATTGTTGTCCATCATTTTGTTTTTCTTATTTTATACCTTCCATATTGTTATTTTATACTGGTATTTATTGCTTGTTTAGACAGCCACCTTTGCCAAGTTTTTTGCTCACCATTGCTTCATATATCCTGTCTTTTCTGGATTTAATTTTCTTCTTACTAAAGTCTTTCGAAGATCTTTCAGCAAAGGTTATAAAGAGTGGATTCTTTCTGTCTTTGTGTGAAAACATACTAATTCTACCTTCTCTCTTAAATGATAGAGAATCACTGTCTCTTGGCATTTCAAAGGTGTAATTCTTGTCTTCCAATCTTTCTTAACTGCTTTTGAGAATTCTACTTACTGCCTAATATTTCTAAGTAATCTACCTTTTATCTCTAGTTGCTATTAGATTTTTATGTTGTTCTATTTGGCCACAGTTTTTCTAGGTCTGCATTTATTTTTATTTATTGTACTAAGCCTTGCTGTGGTTTTAACCTGAGGATGCCTGACTTTTGTTAATTCTGGAAAATTTCTCAGCCACTACATCATGTCTTTGAATGTTGTGATGCTCCCATTTAAAAAGAAAAAAATTCTGTATTTCTCTAATTTTGAGTCATTTCTACAGTGCTGTCTTCTAGTTCTAAACCATATTTCATCAATTCTAAGTAATTCTGGAAAATTTCTCAGCCACTACATCATGTCTTTGAATGTTGTGATGCTCCCATTTAAAAAAAAAAAAATTCTGTATTTCTCTAATTTTGAGTCATTTCTACAGTGCTGTCTTCTAGTTCTAAACCATATTTCATCACTTCTAAGTCATACTGGTTTGTTTTTTTTTTTGTATTTTAAGATCTCTGAAATTGGGATAGTAGGTTATAATTTAATTGGCAAAATTTTTCTTTTTAAAATATCTTTGTCTAACTGGCAGTATTAAATTTCTGTGTGGTACATAAAATAATGGTGTAACTCAAATCACTTAATCTTTGAGTAGGTTATAAAAAGCAATTCTTGTTTTGACTGTGTTTAATCTCTCAACCATTGGGTTTGTATTCTCTTGAGAATATTTGAACTTTAGAAGTTCTGTTTGGTTCTTTTAAAA